TCACCGGGCTTCTCTCAGCCAGTGGTGCATGCTGGGATAGGGGACATATATTGGTGGGATTTGCCATGTGCTCAGACTAACCGTGACCAGCCATGGATCAGGTCTGGGTCCTGTTCAGCCTGCCCCCCAGGGGGGGGCACAGCTAGAAATCCCAGGGCCTCATAGCAAAATTTTGTAATTTTTTAATAGAAATGCGCTGATCAGCAAGTTTTTGAGCGTTTTTGAGCGTTTTTAGCGTTTTTAGCGACTTAAAACAGCCAAAAATGCTCTTTCAAAAATCGTGCAGAAACCGCGATGAAACGCTTCCGCCCTGGTGTGAATAGTGCCTGAATGAGGCCTAACACTTTACTTTAATGCTGCCACACCAATGAGAGGCTGAGGAAAGGGGGATTATACAAAAATGAAGGAACGCTAAACTACCCCCACGAAACCCCGCCCCCATTTTATTAGAAATGCGCTGAGCAGCACGTTTTTGAGCGTTTTTAATTGCGTTTCAGCGCTGAAACGCGACTAAAAACAGCCAAAAATGCTCATTCAAAAATCGTGCGGAAACAATGACGAAACGCTTCCGCCCCGGTGTGAATGGCGCCTGAGTGAGGCCTAACACTTGACTTTAATACCGCCGCACCAATGAGAGGCTGAGGAAAGGGGGATTATACAAAAAATGAAGGAGCGCTAAACTGTAAATAAGCGCGATTTATGTTATAAATGGTTCTTGCGCTGCATTGGTGTTTGTGTTGTGATAAAATGATACCGCCGTATATTTCATTACAACACAAGGTGTCACAACGCGCGGCAATGCGTCACAAACCTTCGCCATGCGCTGCCGCAGTTAAATTAATGTTTTTTTTACAAAAGAATGAAATCATGCACTGCCATGCGTTCTAACAACGGATGGATGCGTAGCACCCTACTTATAGTGGTGCTAAAATATTTCTATAGTCTATGTTCAGTTCAACTGTGACAGTTCCCACAAAAAGAGAGGAATGAAATGTATGTACACCAACGCTAGAAGTCTGGCAAATAAAATAGAGGAGCTTGAAATTAGGCTAATTGAAGAGGACTTCGATATAGTGGGTATAGCGGAAACCTGGCTGGACAGCACGCATGACTGGGCTACTAATATAGAGGGGTATAACCTGTTTAGGAGGGACAGAGATGTGAAGCTGTGTCTGCCTGTGGGCGGGTGTGTTACCACACAGGGCAGAACAGCCAATGAGGATTGCTATGTGCATTTATGTCTCCCAGCCAATCACTGCAGGACAGTAGCAGTGATGCATGCTGGGAGAGGAGATAAATGCTGAGTGTGGCTGATGCAACAGTCTCTTCCTTCCCCTCCCCGGGGCCCTCCTGGCTGGGGGCAGGACGCCTGCTGCTGAAGAGACAGAATGGACTAGGCCTGAGCTGGGGCCTAGGCCTGGACACTGGGGCCTGAGTCTGGAGGCCCAGAGGTCAGCCACTCGTGTCTGAAGTTGAGCCTGAACAAGACCCTTGACAGTACTGCTTGCCAGAAGTTCTCCACACAGATTGCCGGTACGGCTTAAAGGTCCAAGTCTGTGGTGGCAGCAGTTACTTTGCTCTGTTACAAGTACAAGGAGCCTACCTTCATCCTGGATGTGCCTGACCCTCCCCCTCTCTCCCTGGAGTTACAGCAATAAAAGAGAATCATCTCGGAGCTATTGTCTGGACTTCAATCTGTCGGTGACCACTGGAGGTGGTAAGTGCTATTGGGGCAGCCATGTGTTTTAATAATCCCTAGACAGGCTATGGAAGACCCGATCATCCAGCGGCTCCTTCGGGGGTGAGCGCTACAGATGTATATAACTGGATCAATATGGATCAATAACTAAGCCGGCATGGCTAAATAAAACAGTAAAACAACACTGCAAGGACAAGAGCGCGGCATGTAGAAAACATAAGACGGAGGGGACGGCACTGGCATTCCAGAACTACAAGGAATGTAATAAAAGATGTAAACATGAAATTCGGGAAGCTAAAATAGACTGTGAAAGGCATATTGCCCCCCCCCAGTCTGTAAGAGGAACCCCCAAATATTCTACCAATACATAAACAGTAAAAGGGTAAAGAAAGAGCAGATAGGACCCAATAAAAGATGAAAACAGGAGATTAGTCACAAACGACAGGGAGCGGGCCGAGGTGTTGAATTCATTTTTCTCCTCAGTACACACTCAGGAGAGAGACGGGTCTAATGTAGATGAGAATACACGTAGCTTATCGCATAACATATACCGCAGCGGCTGACGGAAGCCGGGGGTTCAACATAGACTTGAAAAACGTAATGCAAATAAAGCATTAGGACCGGATAACCTGCACCCCGGGGTACTTAGAGAACTCAGCCAGGTTATAGCGAGACCATTATTCCTCATCTTCAAGGACTCCTTAATGACTGGTAGAGTGCCGAGTGACTGGCGGAGGGCTACGGTCATACCGATATTCAAAAAAGGGGTCAAGATGCCAACCTGGGAACTACAGAGCAGTCAGTCTAACATCCATAGTATGCAAACTGTTAGAGGGAATGATTAAGGACTACTTAGTAGAGTTTGTTCAGGACAATGGTATAGTAAATGATAATCAGCACAGATTTAGGAACGACCGTTCCTGCCAGACCAACCTACTGACATTCTACGAGGGGGTAAGTAGAGATCTGGATGGAGGGAGGCCGGTGGATGTGGTGTATCTGGACGGAGGGAGGCCGGTGGATGTGGTGTATCTGGATCAGGGCAGCCATCAGAAATTTTGGGGCCCCTTACACGGCTTTAGGCCGGGCCCCACCGCGCCGCTGGATGCAGGGCTTAGTGACGTGCTGAACGCAGGGCTTAGTGATGCTCTGGACTCAGGACCCACCTGAGACTGACCCTGCAGAGCCCACCATAGATGCTGCACAGCCCATCTGAGACTGTCTATGGTGGGCTCTGAAGGGGTCTCAGGTGGGCTGGTCAGGGCTGCATCCCTCCCCTCCCTCCTTTCCTTCCTTCCTTCCTAGCTCCTCTTACCTGCACACATGGCCTCGCCTGCCGCCGGACCTGCCAGAAGTGACGTCACGTCCATAGCGATCCCCGCTGTGTCCTTCGGCCGATGCCGGCATCCGTCTTCGGGTTCCGTCCCTTACGAGCGTACGCGTCGCAGGGGGGCGGAACCAGCAAAAAATTTAAACGGAAAAAAAATAGAAACAAAAATAGAAAAAAAAATGAAAAAATCAGACCGCCAGGGAGGTTAAGAACAAGATGACACAGGGACTACACATGCATACACACACATACACATGCAGATTCACATGCATACACGCTATAGGTTGGACTTGATGGACCCGTGTCTTTATATGGGGCCCCACTGTGCCCCGGGCCCCATAGCGGCCACCTGGGTCGCTATGGTGATTGTTACGCCACTGACAGGGACTCATACACATGCAGATTCGCTATAGGTTGGACTTGATGGACCCATGTCTTAATTCAACCACAAATACTATGTAACTATATATAACGATGGCGATAATACTTCATCACATCACATTAAATATGCGATAAAACCCGAGGAGACGTCTTATGGCCGATGAAATCCTGCACCGGAAACTAACATGATTTGGTTGTTTTCCCAGCTCAGACCTGCCGGAGGGTGAACAGGATGAAGCGCGGCGTTGGTCAAAGTGGAACTCTAGATAGGCAGAGCCAGCTGTCACTCACGCAGCTGGGTGGATCCTGACAGTATTGTTGCGATCCGTCCCGGCTGCGGCGTCTCAGTATACCGCGAGCTGCAGCTCCCTATATACTGAGCTTAGGGTGACGGGAGGACGCTAGTTTTTTTTTTTTTTTGCTACCCTGTATATTGTACAAAGTGCAAAAAAAAAACTTCAGAAATAAATTAAATGTTAAAGAAAAAATAAAAGTAGAGGGCTTCACTAACCTGAACTCCCTGTGTCCCTCCGCCGGTATCAGCCTCCTCCTTGCCCTCCTCCGATGCCACCGATGGCTGCTGCGGCGTCGCTGGCTGCCCTCCAGTCTCCACCACACGCCGGTCGGGCGGGCTCTCTCCTCTCTCTGCAGGAGAGGACGTAGGAAGTGGTGGAAGTAGTTCCGCCAGCACTAGAGGGGGAAGCCACGCCAGAGGACCCGTCGCACGGCTTCTCTCCTCTATGACAGATGGGGGGAGTGGGGTTGCGGTTCGGAGGCTGCGGCGGAATTGCCGGCATGGCGGTGCCCCATTTTCCAAGTCAGAAAATCGCTGCTCCCGGGGGCGAACTGACCAGAGGCAGGTTAGCTGAGGAATAGGATACAGAGGGGAGTTAGGAGGTTGCGAGGCCTTAGGCGACCGCCTAATTAGAGAGCCGCCTCTGCTGCCTTGTACAGGACAGATGCCTGGCCACGGGCCCCGTGCTGGCCGCGGGCCCTCGGGCAGCGCCTGACTGCCCGATGGGTCAGTCCGCCCCTCCCGGGTGGCCTATATTATATGGGAGAAAGCAAAGGAACGTATTGCTTATCATAAATATTCCATTAGGGATAAGAAAGTTGTATTACCAGCAGCCAGACATTGTGTAGAATATTCACATTCTGAGTCCCAACTCCTAATACAACGTACATGGCTATAGACCACGAGACACCACCTAGACACGGCGCCGACACACAACCTATTCTGTATAGACGGCTGCATATCATTCCTGTGCTGAAAGAGTTAACTACTATAAGGAAGTCATTTCTGGTTCCCGGAGATCCAAATTGATACTTTGTAATTAACATTTGATAAGTGACAAACCCGAGGAAGGCTGAAAGAGGCTGAACCCGTCTCCTTGTAATTACACACGTTTAGCTGTTCAGCGGGGTTGTGAATATGCAGCATTGCCGAGTAAGTCCCAATATGCGAGCAGCCACAGGATCATTTAGGATTAAGATCTATAGATAGATAGATAGATAGATAGATAGATAGATAGATAGATAGATACATCTTCCCTTCTCTACCCTGTACAGAGAAAAGAAGAGCTGGGCACAGCAACCTCCCACCGTCTCTGCCACTCCATTCTAGGATCACCTGGGGGACCACACAGATCCTGGTGCAAGAAAACTGCAGGTGAGTTCAGTTGCTGGATTTGGGAGCTTGTGATTTCATCCCAGAGGGGGGACTGGAGGGGATTTTCCCCAAAATATTAACTTTGTTTATTTCTCCTAATATCCAATCACACCTCAGTATATATTCCTTCTCATTGCTTACTTTCCAACCCTCTTATTCCATTTGTCATGCCTTTCACCCTCTGGTACTCTCGGCATTCTTTCCTCTTCTTTCTGTTTTGACAAAAGCCCAGTATGGATACCGGCCAGTTTTAATGGCCCCCCTGAGGTGTTTGAATTCCTTCATCTTGGCCTCTGTTCTGGTGGGAATTTTCTCTGCCCGGTGGTGTAGAGTCCTGATGACTCCCAGTTTGTGGTCTAAAAAGGGTGGTGGGAGTCAAATAGCAGGTACTGGTCCTTGTGTGTTGGTTTTCGGGAAGACCTGCCAGCCTTTCCAGCCTCCTTCCCTCTTCTACTGTTACTAAACAATCCAAGAAAGCCGGCTTGTTGTTTTGCATATCCTCCCTAGTAAACTTGATGTTCTGATCCACTGAGTTGATGTGGTCAGTGAAAGCCGGGAACTCTTGTTTGTGAATCTTAACCCAAGTGTCATCCACCTATCTGACCCAATGACTGGGTGTAATTCCCTTGAAGGTGGTCAGGGCCTTGCTTTCTACTTCCTCCATGAACAGGTTCGCCACAATAGGTATCATTGTTTCCTCTCTGCCCAATATTAAGTTCTTGATTATGTTTGTGAAATCCTGAGAGTTCTGTATGTGGTGTTGTGTATTTCCGACCAAAGGGCGAGGACTCTGGCTCAGTATTTTGCCACGTTATAAGTCACAGAGTTTATGCTGCTGACAATTGGCCTGAGAGGGGTCCCATCCTTATGTATCTTCGGAAGTCCATATGAACACGGAGGGCTTCACCAGGGTAGAGGCGATGATACATAGCCCGATCAATGGCTTTGTCCTTTTCCAGCTGTTGTAGTCAGTGGTGTATTCTGGTTTGGGGCTGCCCTAGGCAAG